TGCGTACGTGTACGAGAAAGTAAATTGTTGATTACGAATGAGAAGGTTCGCAAAATATTTGCCACTTGTAGACACAGTTAAGCTTGTATATTTTTTAACGAAAAACTCTTTTTCTTTACTGCTCTAACCCCACCAGTCTAAAAATTTGGCCTCCACTGGAATAACGAAGCTCGTGCGGACGCATCCCCTGCACATTCTACCTCCTAGCCGGCCGCGTCGTAGGAACGGCTCTGGGTGCGTGGGAGGCGGTGAATCGCCACCCGCCCGAAGCCCTTTCGCCTGCAGCGCCCCGCCCCGCCCCTCCCCGCGCTGCCCCCGCGCCGCTCCTCCGCCCGTGATGAATGCTACCACGTCTCGCGTGTTTCCTCGCGAGCGCAAGTACCCGGGATTATTCCCCGCAGACATTAGCGTTTTCAACTTCATCATTTAACGCTGGCAAAAAGCGAGGCTCCGCGCCCGCCCCCGCCCCGCGCTTCGGTCGCTTGAGCTTCCGCGGGCGGCGGCGCCCAGGGACACCGCCTCCGCCCCCGCCCCCGCCCCCGTCCCCGTCCTCGCCGTCCGCCGCCGCCGCGCGGCTCTTCGCCTCGCCTCGCGTCGGCCTGGCCGCTAGGGCCCGGCACCCTCTTGTGTCACCTTCATTATTCCGCCACACGGAGCCCCGCCCACACCCCTGGCGGGGCCGATCCATTCCCGACTTCTGCTTCGCGAGCTTTTCGCTAGAATTTGCCTTTTCCTCGGTTCTCGGAGTCGATAATGTGATAATGGATATTTCTCACACGTAAGAGAACCAAGTATAAAATCTAGAAACATAAATTCCATTGCTTTGCTGCGAGACCGTAAAGAAACTGTTTTTTTGATGAGTACCTGTTTAAATCGTAACACTGCTTGTATTTGACTAATTATTGTTTGTGTACTCGATGCTCGGGGAATAGTGTATATTGTTAAAAAATGCTACATGTAATGAATAGTTTTCTTAGCTTTCAGCGTAAGCGGTTTATTGCTAAGTAGGGATATCCCGTCGAAAAGAAATCAAACCCACGACGTTGTTGTTATTATTATTATTATTATTATTATTATTATTATTATTATTAGGTGCTAGGTGTAGTACCAAAATAAAACCAGTAAAATATGTATGAGACGATTACAAAGAAATCAGTGTCATACCAATTCAATGTAGTTACTAACTACCGCTCTGCCGCATTGAGTGTTGCTAACGAACCGATAACAGGAGATCACGAGTAGTTCACAAAAATCCACCATTAAGTGTTGGGTAAAGTTATTTTACAAATGAGAGTGTGTGTGTCTTGGGAGTAATTGATTGCTCATTGACTCATCTTAGTCGAAGAACTGCCAGATTCAAATAAGAATTCTTGAGGATCAGTGGAGAAAATGATTAATAAATGTTCTTCAAAGTTGTATGTATTAATTCTTGTGTACAATTTTTGTTTTCGAAATATGAGTAGTTTTTATGTAACTTTGAGTGAAATGTAACAATTTAAAAAAAATATAAGATTTACTCTGAATTACTCCAATTTTTTCTTGAAATATTTTGTTAGAATATAGCAAAGTTCTCTTATAACGGCGGAAGTATATTAGTAAAAACTTGTGACATTTCGAAAATTGCACCTCCTACACGTACATTATTGATGGTAAAGTTTTTTTCTTAAAGCGATCTATACTTCAATATTAGCCTTTTAATTCATTTCATGTCTTCATTTCTTTCATGTCTTCATTAATTCATTTCTTTATCTGAAAGTATTAGGAATTTCCTCGTAATTTTAAAAGCGCTCGTTCCAATTTTTCACAAATATGTAAAGAGATTTACTCAAAAGCAGCTTCAATTTTTTCTTTAAACTTTTTATAAATATATAATCAATAAATATATGCAATGATTATTTTTATTGATTACATTAATTTTTGGTTTAGTTTACTAAATATGCTCATTAATTCCATGAAAAATCGTTGATTGTCTCTGTTAATAGCGCGAGTGCAATTAAAATTCCACTGTGCAATTAAAACTACACGTTAACAAATCCGAATTTAGAAAGGGAGCAAAATCGTTTAATTAAGACACTATAACACGTAACAAAGGTATTTCCTGTCGGCCATGAAACAATAACAAAAATATACATCACAGATTGCTTATCTACAACAACTACATATAAAGAACGAATTAATAAAACTAAATTGGTGAAGTAAACTTTAAGCTAACTGACACATGGAACAAAAAATATTTCACGTGATTACATTAAATGTCTTAAATGTAAAATTAATCTTAAGATTCAAATATAAAAGTCAGTTGTGTTTATCCGTTCTAAAAAGTACACCATAGCAAAACTGTGTCAAAAATGTACTTACCAATATTTATACATGTTGTATTCTCTTTCTCATCTGTCTTTACTTTTCGTGAGAAGTAATGTTTTCATGAGTTTGTCAGCTTCTTCCAAGTTTTATCTGCAATATGTTCAGTACCTTCCGCATGCAAATATTTCTTGCAAACAAACAACGCAAGGACCACTAAAATAGATCTTTTCAGAAGCAGTACGTCATCAAAGTTTACTTCGAAAGGTGAATTTCTCACTATTTAAATTATTCTGAAATGGAAACGAAAAAATATTAAACGTAACAAATATATATAAAGAGGTATATATTGCACTGGTATGTAAGAAAACTCGATCCTATCGCCGCTCGTTTTCTTGAACATACCACGTTTCGTTAATTACTATTCTATGGCGCAAGTGTCATTTTCATTAAAACCTTTTAGTTTTATAAAATTTTACCCTTTTTATTCGAAAAATTCGCACGTTAATATTTACGTTAGGGGTGTACTTTATAATTTAATGGTACTCATTTGTGGATACAATTGTTTCAAATGATCTCATGTGTAGATTATTGAAACATTCGATTCACTTCGGTTCGATTCCTAGGATTTCAAGTGAAATGTATCTTTTCCAAAACTATATTCAGGTTTGGAAATAGTCCCTAGAAATATTTGTACTACTCCAATTTTCATTAAAACCTCTTAGCTTTCCAAAATTACAAATTTGATTATCCAATGCTTCTTTAGCTGAAAGATTTTTCAGGACAAGAATGAATTAGTGCGATGCAAGTTGCAGTGTGTTATGTATTGTGCTAATTAAAAGTGTTACGTAAACGTATTACATAACTTTATAATGTACAGTCGTCTCCGGTTATAGTGAACTTCTGGGGACGACCATGTTTGATTCACGATATCAGAAGTTCACTACATCCGAGGATGTCAAAATTAAATTACGTTTCTCCACATTGATTGATTTTATTGTTATAAATATACAGCAAAATACATTAACAGCACGAACTGAAAATGTCAGAACTTTTTTCATCCTAAAAAAAAAATCAATGCTTTTCAATTGTTTCTTCGTATATTTTTCATTACTAATTTCTCTAGATCCTTCTCCAGAGTTCGTGCTCTCGCCGTACTTGATCCTGCATTGCCCACTGTCTCTAAGTATCGTAATGAAGTCTTGACATCCTTCAGTGCCTCGCGCACTGTTGGAAGCCCCACTCTTCGAAACCCCCTTTACTAGCCTAATAACATACCAGGTCTTTTCGGTAGCGACAAGGCGCAAGCGACTAATGAAACTGATCGTTTTTCCGCGCGACTGGGCAGGTATTGGAAGATCGGGGCTGTGGAGGCGCCTACGTAGAATACAACGCGCTTTGACCCGCGGAACATCACGTAACATCAAGCGTGAAACGTGAGTGGACTGAGGTCATCAGTAAGGTCCTTATTCCGGGTCTGCTACGTTCACTTCAGGGGAGACTTTTATGGCTTTTTTTAATTTTTTTTTAAAGCTGCCTAAACGTGGAATATGTGGCACCGAGATATTATTTTTCAGTAGGGAATTAATTTCCAGGTCATATTTCCTATAACTAAGGTTTACTATAACCGAATCTTATTGTAAAATAAGTGCAAAGGCACCGGTGACAAGTTCACTATAACTGAGTGTTCACTATATCCGAGTTCACCACAACCGGAGTATACCGTATTATGTAAGTTTATTACGAAACCGGTACAAAGGAAACGAAAAAGTGTATGTTGTTGTAACCACTAATTTAAAAAATATTAGTAGTTTCTCGTACTGTTCAATGAAATCATGAGAATTTTCCGAAAATCGGGATTTTTTTTGAAGACGCTAGCTGGCACAAAGCCTTAAATGCCAAATACATTTTTCGGGAGAGGTGGATCAGTGCATCAGCTGATGGTACGGCAGTGCTTCTGACTGGTAGGTCCTAGCTTCGAGTCCCGAGATTGGCAAGATTTTAGACACTAGCTTGTCAGTAGGCCGAATTATGTTGCTATCTGAAGGAGAATTCTAGAGGCCGGCTGCTATGATCGGCAGTTTTCTGTGGATTCTCCGATCAAAACCAGGCGAATTCCGGAGTAGTACCCAAACAAACGGGCCATGGAGCGTTTTCCCATCTCCCCTTTCTCTTCCTTGTCCTATCCTCACCCCTTACACAGACGCTAACATGTACTACACTATCACACTATATGCCGGGAGAGCGTTTGGGAACTCAGAGCTTATCCCGGCTGGGGTGGAGCCCCGCTGGTGGGAGATATCTGGTTGAGGGAAACTCCGCTTGCCGACGGTAGGTCGGCACCGGATCTCGCCATCCAACGGGGCCAGATCACCGCCATCTCCCGAGGAAGAAACACGTACGACACGTACGGGACTAGAGACCTTGTTATTTGACGAGGTCGGAATCGCTAACGACATATCAACCAATTATATTTATTATTAATGACAATAATTTTATTATTATAAAATATATGAGAAAGTCTATGCTATGTTGAAGCATAACTATTTTTTTCTTCTGTGACGTTTCTTTTATTGCTTTTGTACAGGTATGCTGATTTGTATTGTACTATCACCGCTATTGTATAATGAAACAATAATTTTCGTACAATTTGTGTAAATCTTTCTCCATGTTTATTTCTTTGTATTGATTTATTTCAGTGTGCTGATGTGTTGCCCAGCAAACCTGGCACGGAAGATTCTGACACATTCGCTCAAGCAGTTTATCTGTTATGGAATTTGTGGTGAGTTCACTTATTTTCTAATTTCTTTTGTATAAAGGAGAGAATACTTGTATGTACGTATATTCCTATGTGTCACAATGACTTTAGATCCAGTACAGTGATTGCTTCAGGATTTGGCACGAATGGTTTTGTGCCGTCGAAAATAAAAATATACGTAGTTGCTTTTCAAAATGTTACTCCAAAATGCGTTCTTGTGTTTAAAGTTACCAAACTACACTGGAGTACACGATGTCTAACTACGCTAGATTGACATTAAAATTCGAAAAAAGGGGACTGTCTTAAGAAGGTTAGGTCAAGGTGATAAAGAAGAATCGCGATTCAAAAATACCAAACGACGTCGTGATAAAAGAAATTCCATACGGAACGCATGTGAAGCCATATTAACCTTTCGTGCGTAGTAACATATACTTCTACTTAATGTACAGAATTAATGTGCAATCAAAGAATTAATGTGTGACTAATATTAATACAAACTATATTTAAACATCCGCTAATAATGAATATTACTAGTGGTGGGGTTTATTTTTTTTTACCCAAGAATTTTGGCGTCTAGCCGTGAATGTGTTACTTGGTATTGTCGTAAAAACGTTATACATGCTTACGTTTGTTCTGTTTCTGTATGACCTCGGTCTTGAGTTGAAGAAAATAAAGTATGATACATATTCTTCTTAGGACGTATTTGTGGGTTGCATGTGCGGAAATGAAGTATTTTATTCATGACGTACGTGTTGTTGATAAATTTGAAGATTGGATAAGCTTGTTGGGAGGTGTGTTTTGTGATTTTGGAGAGAATGCGTACCTTTGGGTAGTCAGAGATTGATTGTTAAAATTGAGGAAAGCAGGAGAAAGTACGAGGTAGAAAAATTAATAGGAAATAGGAATTCGGAGAAATAGAGCGTGTGTAAATGCCTTTTTCTTTTTCTCCCAAGATTTTTGAAAATACAAACGAAAAGTTTCTTTTATGTGTTCTATTAACTTTTGCCAATACGGGATCCGTAGTGATCTAGTTTTGGATATCTTGTAATTGTCTAAAAGACGAAGGCTTAAGGATACAATTGAAAGAACTTAAAACGCAAATAATCGTAAATTGCCTTGAAGTTCAATTTCAATACTACCGTTCAAAAGAGTTTTAAATTTTACAATATTACAATTTCTTGAAAGTATTGATATGATATATAAAGCACCACAAAAGGCGTGATCATGCGTAGAAGTATTTTATTGTTTTTTCTTACACTATTTACGCATTCAAGACACATTTTTGTAGCTGAAACACTATTTCGACGGGAACGCTTGTTTTGTTGGTCCTTGATACCGAAATAGTGTTTTTTTTTCGGCAATATCTTCACTTCTACCGTCCGCATCACTGCCGTGTTTCTTCCGTCCGCCTGTGAACAACAACGCCTAAACGGTCACAACTTTTGATCAACAACGGTCACAATTTTGGTTTTCATCAAAATTGATGTTTTTCGCCCGATCGACTGACGGAGCCTCAATTTAAACACGGATATTTACTTTTGAGGGATATTTTACTAAATTCACTCCAAAGTTTGCTTAAATTATTTGTTAGAAATCACCATATTTGAGTAACTGCAACCGTCCGTTTGTCCGTCACTCACAGACCACTTTCCTTCCAGCAATCGAGATATGACGTAACATTCGATGCGTCTTTGTCACCTGGGGAATTGATTCATGTCCAACTGATCATTTATTTTTAGATCCTAACTTGAAGATTCAAAGAAATTTCAAGAAACGAGGTTTTGCGTGGTTATTAGCGCTGCGATGTTACTGGATATACCCAGAATTATCCAACGCCACCTAAGTAGATCTATGTAGTTGACATTGATGAAACCCCAGTACCCAGAGGCAATTTTCGCTCCATGACGCCACAATTTTCATCCACGAGGATGGTAACACTACTTGCTGCCTTTTCTAACTGCAATGAGGGAATGGCGCGGCAGAACTGTCAATTAGTTGATGCTGCTTTGAAATTATTCATAAGACTTTGTTTCAACTTCCGTTTTTTAATAGTACATTTGCGAACACCTACGTACTGTATTGCTGGTAACTTATTCAAATTTAAAACTTTAACTGAATACGGAGAAAACTAGAACTGTGCGTAATGGTAGAGAATGAAAACACAACCTTATTCGATTTTCCGCATTCACGTTCTTAAGCCTGCAAATACCGTCTTTCAAATGAATGTGACTAACGACGTAGTATCTCAACTAACGTTTTGTTCGCATAAACATACAAAACACTTCCTTTTTGATGGTTTTATAAATTTGCCTACAAAACGATTAATTGAGCAATTGCAGAAGTAGAAAAGTAGAAGTGAAGACAAATTAGATTAAGTTTGTGGAGTTTTAATCTCCTAAAAAATTATTGGACAAAAAATATAAAAGTGTTTAATCCGGGGAAGAATCAGCAAGATTTTGCGACAATTTTTGGAACTAGAGACTGTTCTTACATTAGGATTAGAGAATAACGCTGGAGAACAGCTTTCAGGTGATCGCCTATGTGCATTTTATCAAACACCTGTAAAAAATGTTACTCATAAATTCTAACTATTCGCATCATCCACACCAGCAAGTATTTTATGGCGATTACAATTTTGAAATTGCAATATTACCTGTTCATATCCCGCATGCAGGTACATGCAAGGCCATTGAGAGTTCGGACGTTTTGAACGGGAGTATATCATTGGCAGCTAGGACAGGACAGGATCTTGAGTGTGTTGTGTTAGGTACGCATGTCTCTAATGAGACTCTTCGTCCATGTTTTATTTCTCAGTTTGGTGGTCTGCTGATTTGTTGCGACCCCTCTGCCCCGTACAGGGACGGGGATTGGGAGCCGGGGAGTTATTGTCAGCTACTACGATTGATAGGTAAATCCAGTGCCAGAGACCTAAGACATTGTTTACCGCTGAAACAGTTAACAGCGTAGGCGACGCTACGTTCAGCTGGTAAGTAATACACGCTTTAAAATGGCACTGGTCCGAATTTCACTGACAGCTTTGAATTTTCGAAAATTGCAAATGATTTGTGTGTGTGTGTGTGTGTGTTGGTCTCTTTTTCTACTCCATTTTTGAAGAACGATTTTGTTTCTTAATGAAATCGCTTCACCAAATTAGAACTTTAAATAAACACTCAAACAATTTTTCAAAATACCAGCGGTTTTCTGGTAATATTCAGTGTAATAAAAGGGATTTAATAATCACGCAAAACAATATTTTCTCGAAAATTGCTTACTTTTGTTTGCCCAAATAGTAATAAAACGCAGCGCAGCAGTGCCAAATAATTTTCAAGAGGAAGCACTTTTGCGGGTTCTACTAGACAAAAAACCGACACAGCAGGGTACTGGGACTATAAAGCTGTAGTGTACAGCTCAGAGGATGCATATGGCTGTTCGTTGTTGGGTTCCATTATGATGCTATTTTCACTTTTAAAATTTACAGAGTGAAGAATATTCACAGAGATCCAACTAGTCGTAAATATTACAATACTTCTACCTATTTAAATAAATTTATATTAATTAATATTTGTTTTTTTCTTTTATCCTTCTTTTTTTGGAGGTGTGTTGCTATAACCGATCGTTTTTACTTTCTCGCCCTACTAAATTTTAAGGTACTTCTTAGGAAGAGAAAGTTATGCTGCGGGAAAAGGCGGAGAATTTTCAGCAGAAAAAACTCTTTATTGTCGCGCTGTGGTAACGAAAAAGGGGATAAATGCATTTGCTAAATTTAGAAAAAAATCCTCTAGTGCGTGGTGTAGCCAGAATCCATGTTTTGTGCGTCCTTGACACCAAAAAATTTAATGACGCAAAACGTCTATCAGCCGATTTTCTCCAAAATTGATATTTCGCAATTGATCTGAGGGTGTCGCGGTCCCTTGAATTTGAAACCGATATTTTAATATGGGGGGAGTACTTTACATAAAGCCCATGGAACCTTTTCGCAAATAAAAAAAAGGGGCCATCGTTTTTTATTAAATTTTGATGTTTGATAATCTGGAGGACGTTTGAGTGAATTGTGCAGGTCTCTTGTTTTTTAAAATTCCTCATTTGTCGCAAAATACAAACATTCAAAAAGTTTTCGGTGTCTTCATACTACAATTTTGAAGATACATTTTTAATGAAATGTGTTCTGCAAAAGAGATCATGTTCAATATTTCGAAAATTTGAATATTTTTGCGTCATTTTAGATGAAACATAGGCACTTTCAAAACCATTTTAAACATTTTTTCAGAAACGGCTTCAAATTTTCTTTTTCATTTTTATCCTATTATGTAGCAAATAAGTGTCAAGATAGTGATGATGATCTATTTTCGGCTCATTCTGCATTTTCGAAAATTGCGATTTGTAAATTCAATTTCGCGGGCTTCTTTTCAGGCGTCGCCAGTTCGGAAAATAGCAACACAGAGGCTTCAACATTTTTCGAATTCATCCCATTGTTATCGGTCATGATGATTGTATAATGTTGATAATACTTTCATAATAGGAAATAAGTTAAAGAAAGATAATTAATTTTAACGTAGAGCTAACAAACACACTTCTATACTTTAAGAACTTTTTATTGCTGATGACGGTATTAAAAAATTGAAAACTCACTTTAAATGTAATCAAAGTAGGCGTAGGTGAAATTATTCTTGTTTTTCTGTATTACGTTGTGTGAATACTGTGGCGTTTAAATTTATTCATATTCATGCTCAACTATTTTCGATCATGCGAGGAAGTATGTGGTGTTGTTGCTTGTTTAATTTATAATGGTATTTCTAATCGTAAACAAATAATGTACCCAGGATGGGCTTTTAAATGGCGACGCAATAGCAGTTGTACGTACATATTATAAAATAGGAGAATTGGCACTATCTTTTCCGCACGGTTTGTTTTCTGAGGGACGGATTCGAGAGGAGCGATTTCCATGCGGATTGATGCGCATGCAAATTGAGGTCACCAATGGACACGGACTCACTCCCGATCGAATTATTCACCTTCTGCAG